GGGCCGGGTGCCCGTCCAGCGCTGTCTCACCCCTCACAGCTGCTGTTACGCCCACTTCCCTTATAGGGACATAAGGCTCTGAGAGGCCTTGCCACTCACCCCCCGAGCGCCGGAGCAGATTCATACCTGGCACCACCAGACGCAGAGTCGGGAGCCTGGGATTTTCTGCGCACTCCCTCCCACTCCAGGGCACCTCCTCTGGGAAGCCTCTGGTGGCCCCGCGGCCTCCTCTCCCCCCTCGTGCCCCCACTGTTCCTACGCAGCCTCAGACAAGGCTGCCGAGGAGGGTGGTGTTGGACTTCATCCCAGGCCCCTGGCCGCTGCCTTCCCAGAGCCTGGCTGTCTGTCATCTGGCTTATTTCGCAGTGTCTGTTCCCCACGAGGAGGCGCGCAAGCCTTTATTCCTAGTGTATCCCCGGCCCTCCGGTGGCTGACATACAGAAGGGGCTCAGTAAATGCTTGTTGGCTAAATAAGTGGTCTGACTGCCCCCCGCCCCCCTCCTACTCTCCCCCTGCGGGGGTGGGAAGACATCTCCCCTCTCCCTGGGCCGCCACACCCAGTACCTGAGGAGGAATGATGTCGAACAGGTCCCCGGCAGGTGCGTACTCTTGGGCGAAGACGTAGCAGTCCTCGGTCTCAAAAACCACGTCAAAGACCTTGATGATGAAGGGGCTGGAGGAGAGGCTGCTGGTGATGCTCACCTCCCGCAGGAAGTTCTTCAGCTTGGTCTTGTTCTTGTTCACAAACTTCAGCGCCATTTTCGTGCCTGACGGGGCAGGAGCCACAGTGGTGAAGGCTCCTGTCCCTGCGCTCCGGCGCATGACGTTCCCAGGCCTGCCCGCACAGCCCGTCCCCGCCACGGGGCAGCATGTGTCTGTCCTCCTCTTACTGGTAGCAAACTGAGACCCGGGGAGGGGAAAGGACTGGCCAAAGGCCAGGCAGCGAGTCGGGGGTCAGGCCGGGTCTCCTGCCCCAGCCTGCCGGCCTCGGTGAGGATGGCCTGCTGCTTCCTCCACTCTCCCCTCTCCTTCCTGACGTACAGGATCCTCCTTCACGTCTCGGTCTCCCCCCACGCTAGAACGTAGCCCCCTGAGCGCGGGAATCTGTCTCGCTTGTTGCTGTATCTCCAGTGCCTACAACAGTGTGGCACACAGTAGGTGCTCAACACATGTTTGTTATGTGGCTAAGGAGGAATTAGACACTGAGAGGTGAGGGTCTGCAAGGCATAGGTCCCTGACTCTGCACTTGGGCAGCCATCTGTACCCACTGAGGGTGCTAAGCCGTGTGACGCACATGTGTCCACAGGGCCCTTACCTGTCACAGGGCCCTCTCTTCACTTTGCACTCACAGCCCGCGCCTCATAATGACCCTGGGAGGTGGGCCAGCCCTAATGCTATCCTATTTTTAACAGAGGAGGAAACCTACGCACAGAGAGGTTAAGTCACTTGCCCAAGGTCACACAGAGAGCAAGTGGCAAAGGTCAGGCAACCCCATGTCCAGTGTTCCTCCCGCCGCTGTCAGTGGGCACAGAGCCCCCGCTCCCCGCCCCAGGTGTGTGCAGCTGTGAGAGCTCACGAAGTCCCTGTCCCTGACTGGCTGCATGGGCACCGCTGTGAGGCTGTGCTGTGGGGAAGGCATCATGCTCGCGGGGAAGTGAGAAGATTCTGGAGCTGACTTCTGGGGTCTTGCCCTGGCTCACAGCCTCTACAGCTGCATGAACTTAGCTGAGCGATGGGTCTCTGGGTCTCTGTGTCTTCATCTGAGAAATGGAGATGGCCATAGTGACCTCCCAGGGACATCTCCCACCCCTCCTGAAGCATGGCGCCGTTTCCAAGGACGCACCCTTGGGCTCTGTCCACTCCGCTGGGGTCAACTACCCCCCATGGGCCAGTGATTCCGCAAACACCACTGCCAGCCCTGACTTCTCTCCTGAGCTCCCGATGTCCCGGGGTCATGCCCTTGGCCCCAAAGCAGCCCACCCTCCAGTCTTGGCCCCGGGCCCCGTCTCAGGTCTCCCTGGGCCGCTCAGGCTACATCTCTCCACCTGGACCACGAGCTCTGTCTGCCTGCTGACCCCTCGGCTCCGGAAGCGAACACCCACGAGCCCCAGGCAAGCCCCCCCGCCCCCGCCCCCCAGCCTTCACACCCGCCGCCGGCAGATGCTCACCCGTGCCCTTGTAGGCCACCAGGTCGACCTTCCCATAGGTGCCCTTGCCCAGCTCCCGGACGAGTTCGTAGTGCTTGGTGACATCGCTAGCGGCCAGCGTGCGGAGGGTCAGTGCCTGCATATCTTCAGTGAGGAGCGGCACGCCTGCCCCCAGCCCAGGGGCGGTCCCCGGCCCACAGCAGGGCAGGGAGCGGGGTGGCTCGGGCTCCGGGCAGCCCACGCTCATCTTCTCCCTGTTGTGGGGGGCGCGGCACCAAATGTCACATCAAGCCAGGGCCCCCTGGCCCAGCCACCCGCTCCTTCCCCGGTACCTCGGGTCCCCGGATGCCAGGCTCAAGATGACCACACGGGGGCGACGAGCATCTATCCCCTTTCCCCAAGGCTTCAGGGCCAGGCCTGAGCCACACTCCCTGGAGACACGGTCCCTGCCCCCGCAGTCCCCACTCGGGTACCACTGGCCCGTCTGTCCCAGGCTGTCATCCGGACACAGCCTCAGACAAGGCACACGTGTTTACGTCACACAAAGACACTCCGTGTACCAAGTTCACACGGCCGCTCCTGTCGGCAAATACTGATCACCACCTGCTGTTCGCCAGGGGCCTGCTGCTCAGAGCCCTGGGCCCGCATCACTAAACCAACAGGTAAGAATCCCACCCTCGAGGGACTTAGGTTTTGGGGAGGAGATGGGCGATAAACATAGTGAACGCGTGAATTACACATTATGCTACAAGGTGTTAGGGGCTTTTGAGAATGTAAGGCAAGGGGTGGGGAAGGTGCTGTCTCAGGGCAGGGGTCACGGTAGCAAATTCCTCAGCCAAGCAGGCGCAGACAGAACTCTGGCGGGGTGGTGCAGATGTCCCCCGCTCCCCCAACAGCCTTACGCCCCTCCCCCTCCCCCAGACAACACAACCCTGCTCAGGTATACGCGGCTACAGGTGGTGTCCCGGGCCCCACCTCCCTCCCACACCCGCTCCACCCCAGACCCAAGGCAGAGCCCAGGCCCACAGAGACCCAACCCTCCCCTGCCTCACCCTCCACATTCACAGCCTGACTGACCCCTTCGGTATCCGCACAAGCTGTACCCACCCGTCAGAGGCACCGAGTTTGTCCCCAGACGGTGTTGGGGGGGCAGGGAGCTGATTCGGGGAGAGTCCGGTGAGGGGGGGGGCGGGTGAGAGTGAACGCCCACCTGGGGCCTGCATTTCTTGTCTGTCAAGTTGGCGGTGGGGGTGCTGGGAGCGAAGCTTCCAGGAGCAGGTGCGCACGTGTCTGTGCGTGTACCCGCAGGAGAGGCCGGCACCGAATCCTCCATAAGCTGAGCCCCGGGAGCCTGCCTCCTGGCGCACCTCCCCTTACTCCCTCCTACCTCCCATCCCAGGTGACTCACCCCATACTTCCCCCAGCCCCCACCCCTGCAAGACAGCCCAGGGGTCTTGGATAGCCGACCTGGAGCTAGCCACCCGGCTTTGAATCCAGCTCTGTCACCTGCTAGCTGGATGGCCTTGGGCAAGTTACTTCAGCCTCCCATGCCTCAATTTTCCATCTAGAAAAAGGACGTATTGGTGCCTTTTCTCTACGGGCTGCTCAGCCGTGGAGCGCTTGGTGCCTGGCACACGTAAGGGCTCTGTAAGTGCCCCGGAGTGGTGTCGTGCGTCGTGCGTCCCCTCCGGCTGAGCCGGCCACAGGCTGCTCTCGGGAGCCCCGCATCCTCACCCCGGCCCAGCCGCTCCCCTTCCAGGCCCAAACCCTCTTCTCCTCCTCTGCCTTCCCCTTCCCTCTTGGCACGACCCAGCCTCCCACTTCACACGGAGAGGAGGAACATCAGGAGGGAACTTCCTGGCCTCCCACGTCCTCCGGCTGGCTGGGGGAGCAGGGAGCCCTCCGCCCCTCCTCCGATTTGGCTCCTGCCCCCTCTGCTTCCTCAGGATCCTGCTCCCCCACTCAGCCCCCTTCCCCTCCATTCATGAGCAAGCCCTACTCCATAGAAGCTTCCCCCGCTGTAGGCACTGCCCTTCCTTCCCTAATTCCTTTGGTCTGAACGGATGCCAGGAGTCTGTCTGAAACGCCACACGAATGCCCTCAGTCTGCAGCCTGGATTAGCCCATTTCATAGACCCCCACGGGGGAGGGATGGCGCCAGGCCCACGGACACAGGGTCCTGCTGCCCCTACCTCTGCCAAGCTCCTTGTGCTGAACCCGACTGGGCCGTGGCACCTGTCACCCGGTCTCTGTGTGGTCCCAGCTCCAGCCAGACGGCACCCTGTTACTGTAGCCGCTGACTAGGCTAAAGTGGGCGGCATCTCCCCGTGGTCGTCTTTCCTTGCCTTCGGGGCTAGAGAGGGTCACTGGTCCCAACCTCTGCCAAATATCCCTCCCTGCCCCCCACCTCCCCGTGGGGAGAATTCCGAGTGAGGAAACCCAGGCGATCCGCTTTGAGGCAGCAGGGAGAGGTAAGTCTGTCTCTGGGTGAGCGTCCCCAGGCCCCCAGGGGGTCCGATGAGTGCACACCCTCTTTGCCTTGAACTCTTCCCCCGGCCGGCCAGTGAGACGCTGGGCTGCTCTGCTGACCTACTTCTCTTGATGATTGTGGACTCCCCGAGGGCTGCTGCACTGGGCAAGGCCACGGGCGTGCAGGCACATATACGCACCCGTGTGCAACGCTCCCGCTTTGGGCTTTGGCCCTGCCAGTCCTTTGGGGCTGTTTCTACGTCCTCTGGGAGGTTGACCGACTGGCAGCTGCAAGTTGCTAGAAGCTCTTTCTCCCCCTGTCCCCTCCTCCCTCGCCCGGGGGCTGTGGGGTACATGGCTCATCCCTGCTGCTTTGGCCGCCGAGTTGCACCGCGCAGGCAGCTGTCTGGGTCGGGGGTGCAGCCACAGTGGGGTGGGTCTGGGTCCCACATTTGCCCCCTGCACTCCGGTTTAGCCCTTGCTGTGACCACCACCCTGCACTGCGTCTCTGTGGCTTCAGTGCCTCTCTCAAGTCTCCTCTGCCAGTCCCGCTGCCCGCCTTGATCTCCCCCTGCCCCACAGCCAATCTTCTCTTTATCCTCAGGCCCCACTCTTCCAGGAAGGCTTCTCTGCTGCCCCGAGTGCCGGGTCCTGCCTCTGCTGAGTCCCAGGATTCACATAGGGTCTGTGTGGCTCTCTCTGAGGGTTCCTGTTGAAGATCTTGGGGTGGTCTCCACTCCGTCCCCTGTCTGTCCCCATCAACAGGCCAAGAGCTCTCTGGGGGTAGTGGCTACTTTCTCCCAACCTTTCTTAGTTCCTAGGGCCCAGTTTTGGGGGTCCCCACTACTGGCCCCTCCCTCCTTCACAACCTCCCTCTCCCTTCAGGCCTGTTCCCTGCCAGACGTCAGCAGGCGACAAGGAATTAATCCACACAGCCCTCCCCATCGCTGCGTCATAGCCCCAGGTACACACTGCCTCTGACCCAGTTACGATGCATGTGACTTAAGAGGCACAGTGGGGAGCGAAAGAAACAGCATGGGCCTTGGGGCTCAGCAGGCTTGCCCTTGATCCTGCCCTGCGCCACTTTTTAGGTGGGTGACCTTGAGCGAGTCACTTGTCTGGGGAAAATAACAACAATGGCAATAGCAAGGAACTAACGCTGAAATGGGGCTTACTACCTGCCGGGCCCTGGACTCAGGATGAGCTCATCTTATCTTCCCAATTCAACGGGTAGGTGTCATCATCACCCCCATTTTAGGGCTGAGGAGAACGAGGCACAGAGAGCCTGAATAACTCGTCCAAGGTCATGCAGCTCGCGTTGGGACTGGCTCCAAAGCCGGTGCTCTGAACCACTGTTTTCCCAAGTCAGAATGGTAGAACATCTCATCCGGATGCCTTGGTATCCAAGTGGGGAAACCGAGGCCCAGGAGAGAGCAAAGCCTGAGCCGAAGACGCCCATGCATTCGCTCAGCTCCTGCTGGGAGGTGACCGAGTGGCAGGCACTGTCCAGGCGCTTCACGGGTATTAACTCACAACAGTAGGTAGACCAGCAACTTTCTTCAGGCGGGGACTCCAGGCCAGAGAGTAAACTAAGACACATCCGCCTCCCCGAGTGGTCGAGGGCACATACACCTGGCATCGGTGGGAACTTGACCTGAAACTATTTTGCCTTCATCACCATTGCCTCCGCTTGAAGGAGCGGCTGTGGACTCGGTGGCTGTGAACTTTCCAGCAGCGGGCAGTGGAGGCCCCTGGCTGGCCCCCTGTTCCTCCCATGTAGCCGGCCCTACTATCCACACTTCAGCCGACTGTGCCATGCCGGGGGACCTCACGTGGCTTGCACCTCAAGTGTGTGTGTGTGTGTGTGTGTGTGTGTGTGTGTCCTCGCTGGCCCCGAGGGAGGCCCTTGGTTTCCGGTCTGTGTGGCTGAAGGCAGGTGGGTGTCACCCAGCCTTCCCGGCAGCAGTTGTGGCTCTGGCCCTGGGGGCTGGGTCTTCTGCCACACGCCGGGAGGGCTTCCCAAGCAAGAAACAAGACCGAACCGCCTACAACTTCCTGTTGGCAGGTGGCTTGAGCTGGGTGCCTCTCTTACGAAAACCATACCCAATGCACAACCCAACTCAGAGCTCCTTTGGAGCCTGCCTTCCCTACCCTCCCCCACCACATGCACACACACAGTGCCAGCTTGGCAAAATGTCACTTACTGAGTCCTCATAAGAACCCTGAGAAGAAGGGCAAGATGCTCCCTCTGTTTTTTTTTTTTTTTTCTTAAAAACACAGCTATATTAGTACACACCACAAAATTTACCGGCAGTAGGCGTACGATTCAGTGATTTTAGCAAACGTCCGTTGCCGCAATCAAGCGCTGCTTTCTGTGTTATAGATGAAGAACCTAGGAGGTTGGTGATTTACTATGGTTCTGGAAAAGACAGCCACTGTCCACCAAAACTTTGTGTTCCCTCTTTTATAATACAGAGCTGCTGCTGGAGGGTGGCTGTCGGCAGGGTACTGCATTTCCTGCCTGCCTTGCATCAGGATGTGGCCATGTGACCAGTTTTCCCCAATGGAACGCGAGCAGCGATGATAGATGTGACTGTCTTTTAGGACTGGGAGGAGTTCCTCCATTCTCTCATCGGTCCTAAAAGACAGTGGAGCTACAAGATAGGAAGGAGGAGCCTGGGTGCCTGGCTGTAGGTCTTCTGGCCAAGAGGATTACCCACTCTGCATTTTATGGGAGCCAGGAGTGAACGGCTATTGTGTTAGGCTGCTGAGATACAGG